ACGCGCAGTTATTTTCAAAGGAGGCTGCTCCTCTGTTGGCTCGTTATCGTCGTCGTGGTCTACGAGTACAGCAAGTCATCATATCGCAAGAGCCCGATCAGGGCGCAGAATTGGCAAGATTTGAAAGCGAGGATTCGTCGCTCGCGGGGATTGCGCAAGCGCGCAATTTCGCAATACTTTCTCCGCGTGGCAAAAGTATCGGGTCGATCACTCGGCGCAGCTAGCAGTAAAGCGAGTCTTGGCGAAACAATAGCGGTCGCAGCGGCGGCGGCGGCGGCGGCGGCAGCCGGCGGGGCGACGGGACAGAGATTTAACGAGTTAACGTAACGTGACGTTTGAAAGGTAATAGGGACGTGGTCGAACATTGGAGTTTGCGACAGCAGGAAGCGAGGTACACCTCTATCCCCAGAGCAGAGACACTCCAATAGCTGACACTTTGTCACGCTGCGCGCTCGTTCCCCTGCTTTATTAACACTCTTCCTATCCTTATTACGTCCATAAGGAGATATCAATCGAGTGCCGACAGCAACGCCGATCCGACGTACACATCTCAGGCTTATTACAACATTGCGATGCACTCTGGCTTTTGTTTAACCACTATGCATCGTACACCGCTCAATCTAGATCTGCGTACTCCGCCTCAATTTTTCTTACAAGAACAATTCCCGGTGCGATCGCGATTGCGTCAATTTTTATCGCGCTAAAAAGCCAAAGTAAATGCTTACGTGAAAAAAAACATGTATGCGCGTTCTTATAAACCACTAGAATACATAACGAACGTTGCATTGGTCTTTTCTAGCAAATGACAGACTCAAATATTTCATTTCGTACGTTTCATTCCACTGTCAATGGCAATATTCGCAGAATGGGATATCGAAAAACTGAAAGCAACCATAAATTCGTAAGAGCGAAATAGAGAAAAGTATTGTTCGCAAGGAGAGTTGTCAGGTAAGTGGCAATCTCATGACGAAGTGTGTAGCGTACTGGTGGCTGCACCGCAACTGCACACCTCGTTTGTCGTTGGGTTATCTATCGCTGCTCTCTCTCTTTCTCCGCGAACGCTCCGGGAAGCGAGGGGACTCTCAGTATCGATTGCAATCAGCTGAGCCCACGACGAATTGCTTTTCCGAGACGAGCGTCGATGCTTTTGCACTTCAAAATACGTTTGGGTATTGAAATTTTTGGCGAAAAAAAGACACAGCAATTGGCAATGTCAGCTGACTTTGACCTTCGCTCTTGTCTCCATGTAGCTTGCTGCGTTTGCTCGTGAAATTCGCGGTCGACAGCTAATTGACGTGGCTGAGAGTGAAAGCTGACAACTGGCACGCGATGTGTGCCCCTAATTATTCCGCGAAAGAAGGCGCAGCAGCGAGGGAGAAGCAGTAGAGCCTGTGCCAGTTTTTTCGGCGACGCTCCGACCCGATGTTTTTCGCATGACTGCTATTCGCGCGGCGCGAAACCAATTGGTGATTGCAGCGAGCGAGTCGTGCTGCTAGTGACGTTGGCCACTCGCGCGGCAAGCGTGCATCAGCAATCTATAATCGAGCAGCTTCATTGGGCAAATTATTGGCGACGCAGGCGGCAACGAGTCGATCGATCGATACGTGAAGATCAGATCTGCCGGCGACTAGCTCGAAATCGTGGCCTCCCGACGAGCCAGTGATCACTGCCCAACTGGAAAAGCGGCGAGTCCGTGCGACGCAATCGACGGTAGAGAGCGCATTGACGAGGCGCTTCGTTCGTGGCCTGACCAGCTAAATTGCACTTACTTTCTTTTCCAGCTTGTCGGATTGTCTTTCGCTCTTGTGCACGCGGCTATCGGCCGAATTCTCGCGTCGCGCGAGCGTCTCGAGCATGTCAATTGCGACTGGTCAGCTGTCCACGTCCGAACGCAATGTAATGTATATACTCGACAAGCGGCTCATGGATGGCTCACGCATGTTTTATCGAGACAGATCTATTGGGGAAACGCGTCTGACATTTCAGACACGTCAGCTACTTGTTGAAGCGTTGCAGCCCTTCGTTTTGATTACAAAGTACACTGGGACTACTTGCAGACCCGCTATTGCCATCGCCTCGGATCGCAATTAGCCGTAAGGTATTTCGAAAGCACGCCGTCGTGCTGTTAAGTATATGCTTTCGTACGCTCGCACGCGCGCATAGACGAGGCTAATCTCCAATAAAATCATATTATGAACGCGATTAACGCTACACTATAATCATAAGCTTACGTAAAACACGTGTGAAACACCGAAGCCGCGGCTTTGCCGCACGTTTAGGCAGGCAGCGACAGCTAACGTCGCGGCGCCCGCCGTTGTATTTGCCGTGCCTAAGCGCGCGGGCATCGCCGAGTGGACTGACTGGGGCTGAGTCAAGGCCGCGACCCGTGCAGAAGAATAGAGCCTGTCGTTTTCGCGCTAGCCATTGTAATTGCACGAGCGCCGTCGTTTCCTCTTCGCATCCTCTTTCTTTCGGTTCGTTTCGTCTTCTATTCTTTCCAATTTGCTTTTTATCGCGGCCTTGCTGCGTTACGTCGACTCGACGCAACAATTGTCACTCTGTGCGGACGATGACTTTACGAGTCGACCGAATATATAAAATTCCCATGCAGATTTTTACCGAGGGTTTTTTTTCTTCGAAAAGACGGCCGTAAAAATATGGGCGGAGGCGCGCGAGCCGAATTTTAAAAGCGCATTCAGCACTTTTACGGCTTTCTGCGCCACTGATAAAGCCGTTTCGATAATCGAACGGCACTTTGTGAGCATCCTTAACTGGATATTAAATGAGATTTCATTTGGTCCGACTGCGAGGCCGGAGACAGTCTCAAAATTGCTTTGACCGGTCGTTTCTGTTGCAGTCGAGGTAAGCAACGGTTAATTACGTTGAAAATGTATAGTTGTCGATAATAACAACGAGTATCAGCGAGTGCGCGTGATTCCAAGTTATTACTCAACTAAGTGGGCCGAGTAAATGGAATTGAAATTTGATAAGCACGGTTGAGCTGTGCATTGCATAAATTTCAATGCAATCCAGTCGACCTATCCCAGGGTTGGATATTAATAGGTTAGAGTAGCGAAAACTGCGCTATCCGCGCCATCCCGCCAGCCTCTGGCTCGACGTCAAAGAGCGAGAGGCCGGAGCTGCGTCGCGGCGGGCGCCGTCGCGTCGGCCCGCACAGCCGCCAGAGGCCCGGCGGCGCAGGATCGAGTATACGCGAGGGAGATGGGAAGAGAGACCGATGCGCCGTCGCATCCGCAGCGCGGCGTCGGCGTCGGGGCGGCTCCCGCAGTCCTTTGGCCCAATTGACCCGGTCAACACTCGGCTCACTCTCTAGCCCTTACGCTCGGGCTCTCCATCTGTGGTGTTTACCTATAGCTCGTCGTTGTCGTCGGTGTGCATCAGTGGCCGGGTTTCGCCCGAGTGATCACGTCGAAAGCCAAGCCGCTCGAGAGGCTACAGAGTGCGCTCGTGTTGGATCGCGTTCGTGTATACCTTCGGATTTTTCGTTGTTTTTTTTTCGTTTTCAATGCCGGCTTTTTCCGCGGATCTCGAAAATTTAAAGCGTTCGCGCAAAAATACCAAGCGTAAAGTATATACTCTGGCTCTGTACACTTGCTTTCACGTGATAAGTAGTACGAGTCGAGTGTAGTCAGGCGGTCTCTCACAAGGAAGCTTACGATAACGTTCACAACGATACTGGAATAACAGAAGAAGAAATAATTCGCGTTCCGTCGAATTTAACTTTCGCGAAAAGCACAAAGAAATGCGAAGGGCAAGGAAACAAGTGGCGCTCAATAAGCACAGACGCTTTCCGCGCGAGAGGCTCGGGACATTTGGCGCGGACTGCGAGAACTAGCGCCCCCCCCCCCTCTCTCTGCCCCCCGCAATTCGATACACGCGAGCGTCAGAATTGGCGAGATCGAAAGTAGCGGTGCGCTCGGCGTGCAGAGTCCCGCGATCGCTGATTTATCCGCGTAAGCGCGCGCGAGATCGATGCTGTACAAGCGTCGAGATTGTGTTGGAACACGGCGCGTAGCCTTTGACGGGCGCCAAGTGTCGGCTCGATCGCCGTCGCCGCGCGCCCGTAGCGATTACTCGGCCTCGCGCGCTGTTTTTCAATAGGGTCGTAGCTGCAAACTCCGTTCGCTCCCAGTTACGCAGATCTTGGCCCTCTTTCGCTTCGCAGCCTGATGCGCAGCTGTCCATACGGAGCCGAGTGCCGACGATGGCTAAGTCTACGGAAGATCTCGAGTGGGCACTCGAGTGCAAAACCGACCGCCCTCCCTCCTTCCCCCGATGCTCCTCTGTACACCCGATGCTTCGAAGACGCGCGAGCTTCTTGCCTTTTGCTCCTGTGTTTTTCCTCGCTTTCTCGCTCTTTGCTTTCTCCCTTTCTATTATCTTTCGAGTGCCTGCTCGTGCGCACCGCGGAGGACAGCGAATTTGCTGCTTTAGCCGAGAAATTCGAATGTTTCAGATAGGAAATCGCGATCCTCGCGAGAATAACGCTCTTCGCTTCGACATTGCCGATATTTTTTTTCCGTGGAGCTCGATTTTTTCAAGATATACATACGCGAGTCAATAATAAGTTATTTTGCGACGTCAAATGACGAACGCCCAAAGTTACGGTCCACAATGGGCGAAGAGAAACTTGCGCCGTCGAAAAAATATTGCAAGCGACGACATGAAAAACGGCAACGTTGGCGGCGTTGAAAATGCGATACCCATGTACGAGGATACCGAGACGCTATTGCACAGAATCGCCTTCACTGTTTGGCACACGGCGCTACACCTTGAGCGCGAGGTGCGTCAGGAGCTCGAATTCTATAATAAAAGTTTTTTCCAGGCGTGACGTACCAGTGAATATCGCTCTTCGCTAAGCCGTTATTCTTGACAATGTTATCATCGTTCGTTTTTTTTTCATTTTATATGAGAACAATTGATAATAGCTCTCTGTTTTGTTTAGACATATTTCTAATAAAAGACCATTTTTGTTGCAGCTCAATGGTAGCCACGATACGCAGCCAAAGAATGCCAATAGCCTGGCGAGAAGCAAGCAGCAGGTGAGCAAAATTCACAGTCCGGTATTACCTCTGAAAACTAGAAGTAGTCGTATGGAAATTTTCGGAATGATCAGCGGAAATGATTCGCGCGAAACGAGTACTTTAGGTCGACTTACGCACGCAATATTGGGGAACGAGTGTAATCTTGGAAACGAAAGATTAGCCACTTGACAATAGCTCGAAATTGCATTTCCCGAAAATCTCATAACCCAGAAATGCCAGCGCAAAGACGCAGCCGCTAGCCATTGCTCCTCGCGGCTGGGCGCGGAGTAAAAGCTCGCGCCATTAACAATTGAAATGCCCGGCACGGCATTGCGCAGCCGCTTAACGACCCCGAGAATTCTCTCGCTCTCGGCGGACCTCAAACGACCACTTCTACGCACGACGCCGACCGAAAAAGAAAAGACGAAATTAATAATAATCAGTTAACGCTGCTGGTCATCCTTTTCTCAGCGGCGTCGTCGCGTTTGCCTCGTACGCAGAAGCAACACAAAAGAGCAAGTCGTTCCGCTGCCAATTAGAAATTAACCATTGACAATTGCCGGCGGTCGGCGTTAATTGGCATTAGTGGCGCCTGCGAAACTGCAGCGACCTTAGCGCCCTCGAAGAGCACCCAATCGCGCTCGATTGCTCGCTAGACGCGCCGCCCGTGCCAGACTTATGTCTACAGTTGCGATGGCAATTACCTTCGGTCGTTTTAATCGTCTTGACGAACTTGGCCGAGTGGCTACAGCTTAGCTCGAGTTACAGCCTGTCGGCAGGTGTCAGTATTAGCGTTTCTTCCAAGATCTTCTCAATTTTTCCAAGCTGCAAGAGCTAGTGGCGAGTAACTGGATACGGAGCCGGGGCCTACCAAAGCGAAATTTCTATTCGAGTCCTTGTGTTGCTCGCTCGAAGTGGTCCGCAGGTAGAATGAGAAATCGCGACGTTCTCCTCCGTCGACTCTGCGCGCATATTCGACGCGGCGATTATGCGAATAAGCGGCGGCAGCAAATTGAAAATTTAACGATTCCCAGGCGCGGCGAGAAGCTAACGCCCTCGCTGGCTAAAAATATTCGTCGACATTTACTACTCTCGCCTAGCCGTAAATCAAGCGCACTTGTAAAATTTCCATCGGGGCGCACTTGGCGTAGCGTCCTGCCAGAGTTACGGCCTAGAGAAATGCAATCGCGCCGAGCATACGGGTATGGGGCCGATAGAGGAGTCGCGGATGATCCTTCGGTCAAGGCAGTCGTTAAATTCGCGAGCGGCCGCATCCTGCTGCCGGGTGCTGTATAAATTCGGAGACCCCCCAATCGGCGCGCCTGCTCTGTGACCGCCCTTTCGGACTTGGCAGTGGCGAGCGTGCGACACACTACTGCTTTAACGCAGACAAACTTAATTTCGATTATCAGCTGACTGATCCGCGCAGTACTGCAACGTCTCTCTATTCGGCTTGAAATTATCAACTTGTAACTGTCCTCGTCCTCGCGTAAGTAAGTAATAACAATCGTATTTACTCAGTGCACGGTGGAAAATCGTTGCTTGCAAAAGTATAAGGCCAAATTGGAGCTCGTAATCCATTTGCAGTATCTACTTTTAATAAATCCCGTCAAATTACTTGAGAGCTGCTACTGTAAGAATTAAACGGGCCATAAACGATTATCTTTGCGATATGAAAAAGAAGAGGACTACTCTTGCTCCAATGCCGCGTTTGTTGTTAGGCTTCCTTTTTATTTCAAGCTGCTGCCTTGACTGACATTTCTCGTTAATAGTAGATGCACGTGATAATTGTCAGCGAAACAATCACAATTATTCTCTCACGGCTTATATATATATAAGCGTAGATTTCCGTGGGCGCTTGATATTCGCGTTTACCAGGTGCAGAGCAAATTAATTGCTGCTTTGACGCGACATCTTTTCGGAGCGCAGGGATTCATTTTTATCTTCTGAATTACGACGAGTACGGCAGCAACCTCGAGTGGCAAATCTAATTGGCGGCGATCAACAAGTGAGTTAATCACTACCAGTAGGTGTATCTGGTCATGCTCTCTTTCAAACGTATCGCCGGCGCTTACGTTTCGAAAAGCCACGCGAGTGCACGCACGTAGCTTTATGCGTCTGCATTATGCGATTTCCATAGAGGCTCGAAACGCGCCAAGATAAGATCCAGTCACGCAACAGTCGCGGCTCTGTTCTCTGCGAAAAGAAGAAAAACAAATTGAAATAAAAAAAAAAATCCGCGGCGACCTTTACGTAACGATCTGCGGCATCTAAACTGTTCGACGCGCCCCACCCGCAAAGTAACGCGCTCACGGAAACGCCAAGGAACAGCGAGCTGGAAAAAACAAAGCGCAGATTGAGTGCAGTGCAAGTTTTCGCGTGAGGCGGTTCGCTCCGCGATGGGCAAGTCGAGCGACGGCGAGGCGCACCGTCGCGCACCGCAACTGCCGCTCTTTTCGCGTTCGTAGACAAACCGACGGTGCAGCGCCTTTTTCGCGAACGAGCTTTTCTCGGAACACACCTCTCGAATCGTTATACAGCGTTTGGAATGTCGGAGTGGGCCTCCGTGTCATCATGGCCCGCAAAACGTACTTTATCAGAATTTTATACGAGCCCGTATACGCGAAGAAGGCAAGCGTCTCCCTTTGCTGGGTATTTGGAGCGCCGGGATCCGCAGTGATCGTGATTGTTGAATGGTTGCAGGTGCACACGCCGACGTCGAGGTCGCAGCGAACGCCAGGAGTCGGCGCGGACGCACCGTCGCACACGCCCTCGAAATGCAGCGGCAGCAGTGTGAACGGCGGCGCGGGAGGTGGCCGCGGTGGCCGCGTGAGCGAGGTGATGGAGCTGTGTTACGTTACCGAGAGGATAATAGCCCTCTGGTACAGGGAAGACGCACGCGGGGTCCTCGAGCACGCGACGTCTCTGCTGCGCGGCAAGCACGCCGATAATTACATGGTCAGTACAGCCACGCTCGTCGCGTGCGGCCTCGCGGCCTTGAATCGCGGCTCGATGCGACGACTCGACCCGCGCCGCCCGAGATTAGTCACGCGCTTTGTCCGGCCGCGAGCGGCCTTTGTCGAACAGCCGTGGCAATGCCGTGTCAGACAATGCGACAGGTGTGGGCCGCCGAACGAGAGGAACGGCTGCTGCAGGAAGTGGCGATAAGAAATCGGCTTGCTCGCGCGGCGTCGTCTTCAAAAGCCACGGGCACGAGTTTGGGGGCACGACGCGGCCTCGCTGCGCCCACTGAGAGCATGACTCATTGCAGATGTTCAACCTGTCGTCGGCGGGACGGCCGCACGAGAGCAACATCCGGGAGGTGGGCTGGCCGCAGGGACTGGCGCCCAGTCTCGAGAGGCTGTGCGCCCTTTGCAAGGAGCTGGACTCCTGGCTGAACGCGGCCTCCAACCGCGTGGTCGTTCTTCACGCGAGGTGAGTACGCCTGCGCGCTCGAGACGCGATCTCGACTGCGCGGCGCGGGCAGGGCATTAACGAGTCTCTCTGTTTGCCGCGCTCTGCGGGAGCAGAGGAGGCAAGGAACGCCTGGGCGTAGCCGTATCCGCATACATGAACTACAGCAGCATCTGCGGGGGCCGCGACCAGGCGCTCGACAGGTTCGCCATGCGCCGCTTTCTCGACGACAAAATCGGCCCACTTGGCGTCCCCTCCCACAGAAGGTAACTGGCCTCGCGCTCCCTTCGCGCCGTCCGCACTGCCCGACTACCCCCCCCCCCCCCCCCCAGTCTCCTCTCGTCAGCCAAACCATTATTGCATCAACGGCTAGACAAACTACGAGCGCGTGCACGTGCAAATTCAAGTGCGCGACAACGGTCAATGCCTTATCTCGCCTCGATCGACCTTTTTCGCTACAGCGCGCCCAACAGGCGGACCCCCTGTCCTTTCCCATTCTACGAACGAACGCGAACGCGCATACTAAAACGAAGCTATCGGATCGCGAGCGTACGCGGGGATGCGAGGCGCGTCCCACGCTTCGCGCTCAATTTCGGCTTCCCACGATCTACGACTGACGTCGTTGCCGACCACGCAGGTACATCGAGTACTTCAGCGGTCTGCTGGCGGGCTCGCTGCGCATCAGCCCGTCGCCTCTCTACCTGACGCACCTCACGGTCCTGGGTGTGCCGCTGTTCGAGCCCACTGGCTGCCGAGCCTTCTTCAAGGTCTACGAAGGCCTCACGCCAGTCTTCACCTCGGACCTCTACTCGGTGACCAACGCACGCGAGTTCACCGTCAACCTGGGTGGACTGAGGCTCCGGGGCGACATACTGGTCAAGTGCTACCACAGGATCTACTCGAATCAGGGCCGCGAGGTCATTTTCTCGCTGCAGGTACGCTTATCGACGGTCGATCGGGGCTGATGCCACGTGCGCGTCGGCCCGACGGATCGATCGCCTTTGAATTATTCAAGCGCCCGAGGGCACTCAGCCGCGCGCGACTGTTCATGACGATTTCACGCGATTAACAAGAAAAAAGAGAAAATAACGCGGTCTGGCGAATTGAAATGCCAAGTACGACCGTCGAACGAGGATTTTTTGATAAACGAGCTTAATTGGTATTCGATGAGCCGGCGATCGGGAAAGCGGCGCGAGCGAGGTTTGCTCGTTTCAACGACATTTAATGAGGCTCACGTACCCCGTGTGCGTCTGCTCTGGGACAGTTTCACACGTGCGTGATCACGGAGAACGTCGTCTCGTTTCCCCGCTCGGAACTGGACGTGGCATGCGAGGACCCGAGGTGTCCGCCCGACAGCGTGGTCACCCTCTACTTCGCCAACGACGCGCGCCGCCTGGACGGGCCCGTGCCGGCGCCCACCCCTGCGGTGCCGCACGCCTCTGCCCACCACGACCCCATCCTCCACTGGGACAGCTACACCAACCTCGAGCTCAGCGACGACGGTGAGTGCCTGATTACGCATTAGCACGGCGCGTTATCGCGCGCGCGCGCGAGCGCTCGGATTCAGTTCTTTTCGGTCGCCGTCGCGATATCCAATCGGCACTAGAGCTGAGAATCGATAAATGCCGATGAAAAATACGATAAGTGAAAAACTAGCGCTCGCGACGGTCCTATAAATCTATTGTCATTGATCGGCTGCAAGGTACTCCTACTTTGTTATTATTGTTGTTATTGCGCCTCAAGTCCACCTTTGCTCTCTCTATTTCTATTTTGCGCTAACGAGCGTTCGGCAAATTCGATCGCGACAAGGACAATCACTTGCAATCAGGACGAACACCGTCGGTCGAAGATACGGCCTTCCGATGAGTAAGGCATTAAAACTTTCTACGACATCGTTATTCCGCATTTGGAGCAACGGGCGTGCCCGAGGTCAAATCAATTTCCCATCTCGATCGCTCAATAGAGCTTCAATGAAAAAAAAAAAACCCGTCGAAGAAAATACACTTTATTTTAGCCTACGGAAGCTCCGTTCGTTATCCGTGACACTGGCGCACGCCTCGAATTTCGAGAAATGCCACTATCAGTTCGGCATCTTGATGGTGCAATAAATCTCCGCGTTATCGAGTCTCGCCGAGAGCCATAAAAGGTCAGATTTCGCCTCAATATCCAGTAGATGAAAACAGCCTGGCAGTGACACGAGCGAGCTCGTCAGAACTGAAAGCCGCGCAATTAAAGTGTCCACAAAGTTGTAAAGCTGGAGATTGGAGGGTCGGCTAAAAGAGCGCGACAAAGTTGCGAGTTCCGCGAGGACAGGCGGCCGCAGCCAGGACCGCAGCCACAGCCGCAGCCGCGCGAGCAGCGTTTATTAGAAGCAAAGTTCGAGGTTTTACGATGAGTTTGTGTGGATACGCGCGCTCGCGGCTCAGGCAAATGAGTATGTCGACCGTGGCGCGAATTTCGAGCTGCAGCAGTGGCTCGCGCGCGGCCAGCTCATCTTGCTCGCTGCACACGTCGAGAGAGTTACAAGACGTCGGCGGCCCTGCACGTACTCGCGGTAATCGGGTTATCTGGACTCGCGAGCGCCGAGAGAACTGTGCCATGTCAATTCTGCTGCTTGGCTTTCGTCAGTCGGGCTCCGTAAAACCGACTCGACTCTGATCAAAACTATTATTCGCTGCGCTCAACTGCTCGATCGTCCGCGCGACGTAGCTGCCGCTCGCGCAGTTTATCGCCAGAAATCCGCCACTGTGTTCGCGTAAAGATAAACGCGTAGGAAAGCCGAATCTAAAATTAAGAGAGCCGCGCCGTAAACTCTCATTATGGGCTGTTCCTTTCTTTTCTCTCCGCGGTTACGTTACGTCTTTCTCTCTTTTGTATGCGCCCTCCTGCTCTCGCCTTTTCTCTCCGGCGATTGCTGTAATTATATTTTTACGATCCGCTTGCTACTTTCGTCTTTAGCATTTGACTCTCCTTCGTCTGCCCTTTCTCCTCCGCCCCGTCTGTTATTGTGTACACTCGAGTTCGCTTTATTGCTTATTAATTTTTGCATCTCGTAAACACGGCATTGTTCCCCTTTTAATAGGCTTTCTGCGAGATTCAGATGGCAATTTTCAAAATGTCTTTGTTTGTTAGCCAGCAGAGTGTCGCGCATATCTTTTCATCGGAATCTATTTGCCCGCTGAAACGACATCGAGAGGCAGCGTGAAATTAGCTGCAAGATTTTTCTTCGCTGCGGCCAGCGCGCGAAAAATACACCTCGATCGATCAAATATTTGCACTCGAAATTACTCGCTTATAATTGGTTGACGCACGAGAATATTTTTCTGGCTGGATACTAGCGAAAGGAGAACATGCGAAAGATATTACGATGTCATGATAAGTGCAGCTAATGAGCCTATTTCCGTGTAATTTAATTCAGATGGCGGTTTGATCCAATTAATTCAGTTTCTCTACGCTGCTGGCTGTATATCATTACGAGTATTAAATATAACACGGAGTAAAGTAGCAAATAATTCAATATAAATGACAACATTGTACTAGCAGATAGGGCTCCGATAGATCAAGGCTTTCCATTTCATAAAGCTGACTTACCTTTATTGACGGTAATACCGACATTCTTGCGCACTCGTCGCTCGAATCTGAAAAAAAAACTCGCACGAGTGCACTCTTGGAGACGATGTATTCCGGGAAAGCGGCGGAAACGCCAGCTCGTATGGAAGGTGGAAAAGCGGTTGCAGCAGCAGACAGATCAAGTAGTGGAGGGGGTTCAGCGAGTTTATTCTCGTCATCTTGCGAGAGAGAAAGAGAGAGAGAGATTCGGACTGCGCCATTCTAAACGCGTCTAAAGTATCTCTATCTTGGTTTTCAAGACGACGACGGCGGCGGCCAGGGGGTCACGAGCTACCTACAGTTTTCAGTCGCTGCAAGACCGCCAAGTCGCGAGCCCGCGCGCTCGCGCTGTCGCTCGTTTGCCTATTTATTTGTGAAGTGGTGTGTCGATTTTGCGAACTCCACTCATCCACTCGGATCGTGAGCTTATCTCTATGTGATTTTGTGCACTTGTCTCAGGCATCCCTTAGCCAGCTTTTACAGCTGACCCGACTGCCCAACTAGGCAATCTCAAAAGGTTTGTTCGATTCCACTTTCAAAATCTCGTGACATTGGTTTTGACTGGTAGCTTGCTTGCTTTCTTGCTTTTGTCTCGTGGTTCGGAATTTTAAAGAGCTTGATTGACTTTAAAAGTTGCTTTAAATCATCGAACGTGGAAGAGGATATATATAGTATAAATTATAATTAAACTGCTTAATTAATTTTCATCGATAAATCAATCAGTCGTTTATTAAGAACGAGCCGAAGATCAACATTTTTTATTTTATAATTCGAAGCATCTACCGGATGAGTGTCAAAAATGAACAAAGTTTGAGATAAATAAAATGTTCTTTTTTTATTTTATAATTACATCGAAAAAACTAAAAATATATGTCTAGGTTCCAAAAAACTCTTGAAAGACTAAAATTAAACCTCGCGCGAAGTTAAATATATCGTATTACAGTGGAACGATACGCATAATTTGAGAGCGAAAAATATTTAATTTGGTGACCGCGAAAGACCAGCACTCCACCTGCTTTGATCTCATTCAGAAAAAGCTAACTGGCTTTCTGCATAGAATCTCTCCTCGAGGACCTCATTCATATAAGTCTGTCCAGGAACACAGTTGATACTCCGACAGCTGGCAGCTTCGCAGTTACCTTTCTAGCTGTTCCAAGTATCTCGATCCGCCCACTGAATTGTTCAAACGGCGCACCGCGACCTCGGAGAAAAAAAAATCAGAGCGACGCACACATAGGCGCAATATCCAGTTGGTCGTACGCCCGTAAAGCCGATTATTTATCGAGCCCGGAGTGCCATTGGCGAGCGCAACGACTGCGGCGCGTATGCACATTTCCTCGCGCGCCCTGACAACCGATCGCAACTCGCGGCTCTATCTTGGCTCTCTTTTCTGCGCATGTTCACGATTCTTATCGGCGCATCGTTAAGCGCACTCGCCAACATCGCCAGATAAGCTCTCGGAAGTGTACGCTCGGTTCAGCCGTGCGCTGATGTTTCACTCTTTCTCCTCTGGCTTTTCATTCTTTTGCCACGCCACTTTCTACAAATGTTTAGCTGTCGAGTTAATGCCTTGACGTGGCGGTAGAGGATGAAGGTTTGAGTGTGTGTGTGCATGCAAACACTATATGAATAAATAACTTGAATATCTCAAGATTAACACGTCTTAGATTCCGATGTGCGTGGTGCACTCTAGATTCGTCTTATTTATTATCAATCTTTATATACTCGAATATACAGATAAAAATTATATACAGATTAAAATTATCGATACAATTAAACGTTAAATAAATTATTTATTCAGTAATGTGAAATTATCTTAATTAATATAAAATACAATAGCATGAATATAGTCATGAACAAAAGAACAATACCGTGACATACAAATAATTAAAACTCAACAATTCGTCTATAGATGTCGAACTGGTAAGCATATTTCCAAGATGACTGATGCGCAACTAGGAACATACGGGCCGAGTTTCTTGTTGTTTTAGGTGCTCTATAAGGTCAATTGAAAAACTAAAATAGATAAAGATTGGCGCTTGTCCATAACTTTGCATTGCCGATAGTGATAAAGTAGAAAAAAACAGTAATGTGACAAATAATCGAGCACTTGCATTCGCGTTCAGCTAGCGTGACGAACGTTTGGTAATCGCGACCGATAGGGCTATGGACCAACAAACATACTGTCTTGTCAGCATTGAATTTGGAATGAACAATCGACTGATATTTTCTTTATTGTTGCTTCGTACTGATCTCGCAAGACGGATGCTGGAAAGAATCCTCTCTGGCAACTTGCGTCCGTAGGAAACCATTGATCACGTAATAGCGCTTTAAAAACTTATCAAGTCAAATTGATACATAATTAATATACGAAGATAATCATAATAATCATAATAAGTAATAGAAACACTTTTACTTGTCGCGATACGTGGCAGTATTCAATTTCAAGAAATGAATCTCCAAACTTAAATTTTAACAATTCAGAAACTTTATCATTCAAGTAAACGTGAGTATCATATTTTAGTTTGTCATTTCAATTTGTAAATTGATTAAATCTTCTTCATAAAACTGCCTACCATTAAAGAGAGTCATTAAATATCACTTCAATTAAAAAAACGAGTCAATCATCATCGATGCAATTCATGAAAGCACCATGGTTTCAAGACTATCAATGTTCCATTAGTGTTGAGCATCAACGAAGATGAACATTATACCGCGAAAAATTATTAAATAGTAGACTAACTACATTGATGATCTACTGTTTGAAGTAATATTCTCAGTCTACATGAACAATGCATTCTTCTTCCATTTTTTTGAATGACATAAGATGCAGCTACGATCTACATCGATATGTGTTCTTAGGCTCGTTGATTATTAAAAATATGCATAGCTC